CCGAGGCGGGCCTAGCGAGGCTTGAGGAGACAGTGGTCCGTTTTTTCGTTCCGCAACCCCGGGGCCCCCTCTTGACCCCCCCCCCCCCCCGGCCCCCCGGCCCCTCGTGCGCAGGTCAAGAACCTCTCTCTGATGGCCTACATCTCGGTCGGCTCCGCGCCCGAGCCCATCCTCGAGTTCCTCGAGGAGTGGGCGACCGAGAACCTCGAGGAGATCCAACCCTCCGCCATCCCCGCCGCCACAAAGGTCTTCATCCTTTCATTCTTTCATTACTCAATCAACCAATTAATTGATTGACTCACGCCATCCCCGCCGCCACAAAGGTCTTCATCCTTTCATTCTTTCATTACTTCATCCTTTCATTCTTAATTAATTGATTGATTGACTCACGCCATCCCCGCCGCCACAAAGGTCTTCATCCTTTCATTCTTTCATTACTCAATCAATTAATTGATTGATTGACTCACGCCATCCCCGCCGCCACAAAGGTCTTCGTCAACGGCGCCTGGGTCGGCATCTAACCACCAGCCCCGACCAGCCTGCTAGTTGCCAGTCACTCCTCGTCATCGGGCAGTCTCAACCACCAATAGGCATCCACCACCAGCCCGACCAGCTCGTCAAGACGCTGCGCGCGATGCGGCGCGGCGTCGACATCTCGGCCGAGGTGTCCATCGTGCGCGACATCCAGGACCGCAGAGCCGCGCCCTCCCCTCGACCCCGAGCCCTCCGCCAAGCCCTCCGCCAAGCCCTCCGCCGTACACCTCGGCCGTGCACCTCGGCCGTACACCCTCCGCCGTACACCCTCCGCCGAAGCGCCCGCAAGCGTGTCCCCGCAGGCGCGCGAGCTGCGCCTCTTCTCGGACGCGGGCCGGTGCTGCCGCCCGATCCTGATCGTCGAGGACCAGTCGCTGCTGCTCAAGAAGGAGCACATCGACAAGCTGCGCGACAAGGAGGTGTCGCGCTTCAACTGGTCCGACTGCATCGCCAACGGGCTCATCGAGTACATCGACACCGAGGAGGAGGAGACGGTGATGATCGCGATGAACCTCTCCGACCTGCGCGCCGACAACCGGATGTACCGCTACACGCACTGCGAGATCCACCCCTCGATGATCCTCGGCATCTGCGCGTCGATCATCCCCTTCCCGGACCACAACCAGTCGCCGCGCAACACGTACCAGTCCGCCATGGGCAAGCAGGCCATGGGCGTGTACATCACCAACTACCAGCTGCGGATGGACACGATGGCCAACGTGCTCTACTACCCGCAAAAGCCGCTCGGCATCACTCGCTCGATGTCGTACCTCCACTTCCGCGAGCTGCCCGCCGGCATCAACGCGACGGTGGCGATCATGTGCTACTCGGGCTACAACCAGGAGGACTCGGTCATCTTCTCGCAGTCCTCGATCGACCGCGGCTTCTTCCGCTCCGTCTTTTACCGCTGCTACCGCGACGAGGAGCGCAAGGTCTACTTCTCGGGCGACCGCGGCGGGCCAGAGAGCGGCCGCTCCGAAAAGTTCGAGCGGCCGTCGCGCGAGACGGTCGAGGGGCTGCGCCGGTGATTACCCGAGATTACCCGAGATTACCCGAGATTACCCGCGAGACGGTCGAGGGGCTGCGCCGGTGATTACCCGAGATTACCCGAGATTACCCGCGAGACGGTCGAGGGGCTGCGCCGGTGATTACCCGAGATTACCCGAGATTACCCGCCCATTAGGGCGAGACGGTCGAGGGGCTGCGCCGGTGATTACCCGAGATTACCCGAGATTACCCGCGAGACGGTCGAGGGGCTGCGCCGGTGATGACCCGAGATTACCCGAGATTACCCGAGATTACCCGCGAGACGGTCGAGGGGCTGCGCCGGTGATTACCCGAGATTACCCGAGATTACCCGCGAGACGGTCGAGGGGCTGCGCCGGTGATGACCCGAGATTACCCGAGATTACCCGAGATTACCCGCGAGACGGTCGAGGGGCTGCGCCGGTGATTACCCGAGATTACCCGAGATTACCCGCGAGACGGTCGAGGGGCTGCGCCGGTGATTACCCGAGATTACCCGAGATTACCCGAGATTACCCGCGAGACAGTCGAGGGGCTGCGCCGGTGATTACCCGAGATTACCCGAGATTACCCGAGATTACCCGCGAGACGGTCGAGGGGCTGCGCCGGTGATTACCCGAGATTACCCGAGATTACCCGAGATTACCCGCGAGACGGTCGAGGGGCTGCGCCGGTGATTACCCGAGATTACCCGAGATTACCCGAGATTACCCGCGAGACAGTCGAGGGGCTGCGCCGGTGATTACCCGAGATTACCCGAGATTACCCGAGGTTACCCGCGAGACGGTCGAGGGGCTGCGCCGGTGATTACCCGAGATTACCCGAGATTACCCGAGATTACCCGCGAGACGGTCGAGGGGCTGCGCCGGTGATTACCCGAGATTACCCGAGATTACCCGAGGTTACCCGCGAGACGGTCGAGGGGCTGCGCCGGTGATTACCCGAGATTACCCGAGATTACCCGAGATTACCCGCGAGACGGTCGAGGGGCTGCGCCGGTGATTACCCGAGATTACCCGAGATTACCCGCGAGACGGTCGAGGGGCTGCGACGGTGATTACCCGAGATTACCCGAGATTACCCGAGATTACCCGAGATTACCCGCGAGACAGTCGAGGGGCTGCGCCGGTGATTACCCGAGATTACCCGAGATTACCCGAGATTACCCGCGAGACGGTCGAGGGGCTGCGCCGGTGATTACCCGAGATTACCCGAGATTACCCGAGATTACCCGCGAGACGGTCGAGGGGCTGCGCCGGTGATTACCCGAGATTACCCGAGATTACCCGAGGTTACCCGCGAGACGGTCGAGGGGCTGCGCCGGTGATTACCCGAGATTACCCGAGATTACCCGAGATTACCCGCGAGACGGTCGAGGGGCTGCGCCGGTGATTACCCGAGATTACCCGAGATTACCCGCGAGACGGTCGAGGGGCTGCGCCGGTGATTACCCGAGATTACCCGAGATTACCCGAGATTACCCGCGAAACGGTCGAGGGGCTGCGACGGTGATTACCCGAGATTACCCGAGATTACCCGAGATTACCCGCGAGACGGTCGAGGGGCTGCGCCGGTGATTACCCGAGATTACCCGAGATTACCCGAGATTACCCGCGAGACGGTCGAGGGGCTGCGCCGGTGATTACCCGAGATTACCCGAGATTACCCGAGATTACCCGCGAGACGGTCGAGGGGCTGCGCCGGTGATTACCCGAGATTACCCGAGATTACCCGAGATTACCCGCGAGACGGTCGAGGGGCTGCGCCGGTGATTACCCGAGATTACCCGAGATTACCCGAGATTACCCGCGAGACGGTCGAGGGGCTGCGCCGGTGATTACCCGAGATTACCCGAGATTACCCGAGAGACCCTCGCAGAGCTGCGCCGATGATTACCCGAGATTACCCGAGATTACCCGAGATTACCCGCGAGACCCTCGAGGAGCTGCGCCGGTGATTACCCGAGATTACCCGAGATTACCCGAGATTACCCCCAAGTACTGCGCCGATGATCACCCGAGATTACCCGAGATTACCCGAGATTACCCGAGATTACCC